CCTGCCTATGCAGGGGGTCAGACTCGATGATCTCAAGCAAATCCCGGGACGTCTCAAGCAAATCCCGGGACGCTTCTCAAGCAAATCCCGGGACGTCATTCTCCCCCTGTACTCGGCCTTAGTGAGGCCGCAGCTGGAGTACTGTGTCCAGTTTTGGGCTCCACAATTCAAAAAGGATGTGGAGAAGCTTGAGAGAGTCCAGAGAAGAGCCACGCGCATGATCAGAGGTCAGGGAAGCAGACCCTATGATGACAGGCTGAGAGCCCTGGGGCTCTTTAGCCTGAAAAAGCGCAGGCTCAGGGTGATCTGATGGCCACCTACAAGTTTATCAGGGGTGACCACCAGCATCTGGGGGAACGTTTGTTCACCAGAGCGCCCCAAGGGATGACGAGGTCGAATGGTCACAAACTACTTCAAGATCGTTTCAGGCTGGACATAAGGAAGAACTTCTTTACTGTCCGAGCCCCCAAGGTCTGGAACAGCCTGCCACCGGAGGTGGTTCAAGCGCCTTCATTGAACACCTTCAAGATGAAACTGGATGCTTATCTTGCTGGGATCCTATGACCCCAGCTGACTTCCTGCCCTTTGGGCGGGGGGCTGGACTCGATGATCTTCCGAGGTCCCTTCCAGCCCTGATGTCTATGGAATCTCAGCAACACAGCTGAAGATGAAAGAAGCTGGGACTGAAATAAGAGCTATGTCTAGCGCCAAAGGACATTCTTCAAATGTCATGCCTTTTGCAACCTCTGACGAACAGTCAGAGCTGCAACAGCTTCATTAGAGTATTAATCTGTTCTCTGCACTTTTGATCTCATTGTTGGATTTGGCAGCAGCACAGGGTAAGCAATGGCGTAGACGGGAGCTAAAGTCACCATGCTCCAATACAATTCAGGACTGCTTTCTGGGAACAGGTACTTAACTTCAGTGTTAATGCTGCTCCCATTGCAGTGTTTCTCCTGGGAAGATCATTAAACCAGTTAAACCCAAGTGGCACCTTCAAACCCACAAGGATAAACCAGTAGGATGAGGCCTTCTTGCCATCTTCTTGATTTTTGTTGGGTGCTTGGTTTTGCTCCAGATCCATGGAATAGTCTGATTTTGATGATTCCACCATGCAAGTCTACCAGTACAAATTAAAAACATCTGAACAGATTTCTTGCCTCTATTTTCTTGCCCTCTGACTTTACGTTGTGGTACAGAAACATAGTGTGTGATTTTGCTTATTTTTTTGATATAGCCTGAATACAACAAATAGTGATACATTAGAACAGGCTGCTGCAATTTTGTCATGCACTGATCTGGTGGGAAGCACCTGAAAGTGTTTGTTTGGTGCTTTGTAACAAATAGCATTATAATCTCACTCTGTGGATGGTAAAGTAGGTAGTCCCTGACCTACCTGCAGATCTCTGATCACCTGCTGTTTGGCAGATAACAAAGTAATTTGACCATTATAAGTAAAATACTTTTCCTAGGCAATCATCATATTTAGTTAATCTGGGTGACTTTATTATGCTAAAAATATGTTTTAACACTAAACTATAGTTTACCTGCTTTAAGGCCAGTGATTCCCAAAGGATGTGCTGCAAGATCTCTCCCCCCATCCACCGCTCTGTCTGCTCCAATGGCACTTGCAGCTGCTCCTCTAGGGACTTCTGCCACTGCTGCTGCCTTTCCATGCCCTTCCCTACCCCCAAGCAGTCCCTGTGCTGTTCTTTCCTGCCCCCCCTCCCCTGTGCTCCCAGCAGTGTGCTCTGCTGCAAGCAGGTGGGCAGGCAAATGCATAGATGGAGCCACACTTTGTAGCCTGGCTCATCCCCTTCACTCTTCCCATGCTTCCAGGTTAGTGGAAGGGGCAGGGGGGAAGGGAGGTCCCAGTGTGTGGGAGCTTGCATAGCAGCTTCAGCAAGGTCCTTGCCCCTTGAGGTACAGACCAGAGGTGGGAGGGGGCAAGCAGTGGAATAAACAGGACATAGTAGGGTGAGACCCTGCCTCTGCTGTCCTTAAGTGGCACCATTTAGGCCAGTGATTCTCAAGTGTTTTAGCCTCGAGGTCTCCTTCATATTTCTTCTGAATTTAGATCTATTTCAGTAATTTTCAACCAGGTTATTGTGAAATTCAGGAAAGTGTGCTGCCAATTTAAAGCCAGAATAAAGGTGTGTGCCAGGTATCAAAAGTTTGGGAAACGCTGCTTTAGGCCTTGGGGAAAAATGGTATATTTTTAGTCACTTTCAGTTTATGATATCTGATCATTCAGGGGGCCCAGAGTCAGAAAGTCAAAGAACCCAGAACATAATCCTTCCTGCAAAGGATTTGGGTTGTAGTTAATGGAAATAGCATAGCCTAAAATATGTATGTTCCCACCTGGCCAAGGTCTACACCATGCTAGAACCTACAGTTATTTTAACCTGTTCAAAGCATGCACCACGCATTATTTTTTCCAAAAATTACCTGTAGCAGTTTTCTAGGTTTTTTTTTTTTTTTTTTGAACACCACCTCTGTGCCACCCCTAGGGTTAATGCAACAAAACCCACCTGACTCTCTTGCTCTGTCTCCATGTACGCCACATCCCACATATGAGGTCATGTAGCTGCCTTAGTGCAATACTAAGCACCTGCCAAGAAGCATACCCAAGATGGGGAACCTAACAGAGATCCTGGGCATGCACTCAGCTCCATTCTAAGGCATCAACATAGATTTATTTTCAGGATTTGGTGTTCATGTAGGAAGCAAGCAGCCAGGGCATGCTTCAAATATGTAGACCTGTGTGGTGGTGTGTGTACATACCCTTGGTGTCAGTAGGCTTCATAAGTACTTATAAAAGGGAGGGATGGTGAATCTTTCTGTTTAAATTTAACCTAACATTGGATTAATGACCAAAACCACCAAGTTTTGTTATTTTAAATCCCAAATATTATAAGTACATGCTGCTTTTTTACAGAATCTGCATTTTGTGCATTATCCATTCTTGTTTCTGCTTCGGTAGTTGCAACACAGTACATGAAGTAACCCAGGCAAGGTGATGGAGAGAGAGTCCTGGTATTACATTTCCCAGGTAAGAAGCAAAACAATAAAATGTATTTTTGTTCCTTCAGGATGCAAAGTGTGGATGAAAGCACAATAGGCATTTTGCTATATGACACCCAAACCTACTCCTGAGTACAGTGGTAGGTCTCATACAATCAAATATATGTTAACATTTAGATGTTGTTCACTCTTTCAGTAGATAATAACTTATTTACTGTTTAATTCAACTGAACTACTGGGTACCAATAAAGTAATCCCCAGTGCCTGACTAAATCTGCAGAATTATTGAACTGTTTTGGATTTATTCCTAGATCTTTTGCAAACGGAATACTCCAAAAAGACTATTAGCTTTATAAACGGGAGCTAAATTGCAGGTAAATGAAGCATGGCTTTACTGCTTGTGGGGAAAGAAGCTTAGTTAAGAGATTTGTTGACTGTAATTTCAATATTTGTATAACGATATGGTGTCTGGAAGTGACTATCATTAGAGAACTTGCATTGCCTTTTGTAAAGGCTGGTGGACCCATATTCAGCAGAGGTGCTGTGATTTTAAAACAAACAAACAAAAAAACAAAAAACAAAAACCCAAGCTTCATTTGAATTGTGTAGCACTTACTTTGAAAATATTGCTTCTTGTTTTCCTACTGGGAGCAGCAGAATTGAGTATAGTTCACTACTTAACATTTCCACTATTAGGAAGTCAATATCCTTGACTGCACTAATAGATAATGATGTGTGACTAATAACTTCTTATTGACTTTAATTCATACTTATTTGTATGAACCAAAATTTGATCAGAAACTTAAATTAGAGAGGATCTTTGTCTTTTCAAAGTTCAGTATAAGTGACTGCATAATCAGAAACACTTTTACAAAATTACTTTCATGCAGAATTCACATCACCTTTGGTGTCTCAGGTGAAATGAATATGGAGATGCATGTTGATGACATTCAGTATACCTTCATTAGAGATGAATTTCTGGAGAACATATCAAGTGGCTTTTGAAGTTTGTCTCTGTTGATAATGAGTATAATGGATGTGACCTCTTTGGACTATAAAAACCCCTAAGTTCTGAACATCTCCAAACTTCTGTTGAAATTCAAGGTTGATCCAGAAGTGAACTTAAAGGAACTTTGGTTTCATGGCAACCTATTATTACTTCTGGTCTGTACTTTTTTTAAAGCCCTTCTCTTAGTTACTGTATTACCAGTCTGTCTACTGAAAGCTCTACAGATCTTATATGGACTGAAATGCCACTTTTTTTAGCTAACAATGTGGGGCATCGATTGCATTTGCCTTTGGCAGGAATATAACTCATTTAGGCTCTTTGCAGCTGTTACTTTTTGAAACAAAACTCTCACTTTAATTTTGCATGTTTCACAAAAGTATGATTGGAGCACTTGAAGAGATTACTCCAGGACTTCCAAGTTGAACTGAATGAACCATATTTGTCCTGTAGAAAATTCTAAAAATTGCTTTTAGTCCAAATTTAGAATGAAAAGTCAAAATCATGGAATTGCCAGCAATTTTTTTTTCCAGTTTGATCCTGTATCTAATTAAATCTGCTCAGATAGATTAAGGGTGCTCAACTCCCAGTCCATAGGCCAGGTCCAGTCTTTGGCTCTGTGTCATCCAGCCAGCAGGGCTCCAACGGGTCTACAAATTTGGCAATGAAGAGCAGTAGCCCTGCTACCTTGCTGTCAAATTTCTGGACCTGATTCTGTGGTTGTGCATGCTGGATTGGGCACACAGGGTGGCATGGAGCCTTATTCCAATGCAGAGGGCCAGGCTTAGGCAGCACGGGGCCCTGGAGCCCAATTCCAAGACATGGTGGCTGGGAAGAGGCACTGCACTGGTGCCCTGGGGCTTGATTCATGCATGAAGAGGCCAACCAAAGCCACACAGAATCTGATCCTTGTGTGCAAGTAGAAGCATTGTGGGGCTCTGTCCTGCCATGGGGGCCCCATCAAGCCACCAGCCCAGCCCCGTGCACCTCATCTGGCCTGTGGGGCCAAAAGGACCAGAAATGCTCCAACTGTACCTATTACTTTTATGCAAAATTAAACCCTAGGGTTTGTTTTCTGTCTAATCCAAAGGCGAATCATAAGCCACAGGGTTACACTGACTGAAGTGTTGCCCCTTTAGAGCTACTCAAATCCAGTTATTTGGACTTCCTTTCCCTGAAAGTTTCAGATATTACCTCTCCCAAAAATTTCAGTAAAATCAGATTTTATTTGCAACTATAATATAATTATTTGCAAGCTTTACTCCCAAATGCTATCCTTTGATGGAGCAAATAATTTTTTTTTTTTTTTAGTTACAACTACCTTCAGTTGAAAATAACTGTTGCATTTACTTTTAAATAAACTTAATGCGCTAAAATCTCTGCTGATGTAAATTGATAGAATTTGGTGGAGTTATGTCTCAGGGATATATCCCTATATATCTACAGATTTTTTTTTTTTTAATTGCAAATATTTATAATGAGATTTATAATACAGCTATTTCTTTGCTGATGGTACTGTTTCTACACCATGCTTATTGTTAGATTGTTCTGGTAATTTGCCTATATTCCAGTGTGAGTTTCAGCATAATGAAATCTTTTGTCTCTCTTGGGAGCTAGTTATTTATTTTCTTTTGTTGAGGAAATTTAAAAAATATGATAGCAGCAATAATACAGAAAGTGATGACACTTTTGCTGAAATCCTGAAATTCACAGCAAAAAGAGGCTTTATTTATACTTTTTACCCTTAAAATTTTAAAAGAATTAGCTTTATCGGTATTTTCTTGAGGGAGATCATTGCTTTGAAGGGCACATCTAGACAGTTAAATGATGATCAGTGACGGAAGGTACACCAGGGATTCCTGATGAAGTAATGTTCCTGCTAAAATGATCTTTCTGCTGAATTCTACTACCCAAAAAAATGACATGGCATTTCCAGGAACTGCAAATTTTACATGTCAAACCAAGTGCTTATGTCCCAAATCAGTGATTAAAAGCTATTTTTGTGTGCCAGAAAACTGAAGTTTCTATTATCTGTCTTAGTTTGAGAAGTGCACGAAGTTAGTTGTTTTTTGTGACTGTTAAAATTAATTCATGTATTCTGTGTAGTATGAGAAGCAACGTACAAAGCTGTCTGAGGAACTGACTGAAAAGTATCAAAAGAAATGCATGCTCTCAGGAGGATTAAAATGTCACACAAACCTCTAGCTTTAACAGACTCAAGAAAGGCAATGTTGTCTTTACTTAAGAGCTGCAAAGGATGTTTATGGAAAATGCAGACAGACTATCACTGTAAATACATGATTCTTGATGAGTTTGATAGTGGAAAATAAAAATCCACTTTATGGTCACCCCACTGAATTAGAACCTGGGAATTCCTGGAGTTCTAGTCCTGACTCTGACACTGATTTAAGTAGCCTTGGGCAAATCATGCAATTTTACCAGCTTTGCCTATGGTCACTAACTTTGCCCATGTCTCAACTGAAAACATACTGTGTTTATATACTCGGTTGTTCTGAATATATGATGCCCTTTCCTCTTGGAAGAAATAGAGCTGCACCTGTGTGATGGCAGGGCAGGTTATGGTAACTGACACTGTCATTCAGCAGTGCAATTTAAACATGTGGCTACATTTTTTTTCCAGTTGGGGGGCAGGATACACAGAGTTGCAGGGCACCACTGCCATGGCATGGCATGGACAGGTGGTGAGTGTGGCGGGAAGCTCCTGCCTGCAGGAGGGGGAGTGGATGTGGGGTTTGTGGGTGGATATGGGAGTGTGTGTAGGTGGGGGTGCGGTTTGTGGGTGGGTGTGGGGCCCGTCCAGGATGCACAGCCTCTGCTGCCAGTGGCAGCAGGGGCAGAAGGCAGCAGGCTTTTGGAGCATTCATGGCCCATAGCAGGCAGAGCCTCCCAGCAGCCCATGGCTCTGACTGAATCCTGGGAGATGCATGCGGTGGCACAGAGCCCGCCTGACCCAGCCCAGCCTAGCCCACTGGCGTGTACCTTCAGCCAGACCGGACTTGCTCCATACCAGCACATGGGGCTCCTGCCACTGCAGGTGGAAGCCACGTGCCATCAAGCTGGGCCAACTCCATGCCTCCACATGGGGCTTCCAGCACTTCAGTGGGGGAGCCACATGTGGAGGCATGGAGCCTGCCTGGCCCAATGGTGCATGGACCAAGAGTCACAGGGAGTTGTGCACCCTGAGGGCCCACTGCCTGCTGCTCCTGCTGCCACTGGCAATGGGGGTAGTGCGCCCTGTGGGGTACGCACCTCCTCCCACAAACCCCACACCCATCCAAACACACATCCATGGCACTTCACAAGCCCCACACCTACCCACACACCTATTTTGAGCTAGTATGCAATTACCTCTATTGGCACTATGCAAATGCAAGTAAATCAGGACAAAATTTTTTTAAAAATAAAATTAAAATAGGTTATACTAGATGTTTGACTTTTTAATATATGCTTTGTTTCTTTTTCAGCTACAAGGTGGCAGACCACCCAAAAGGAGTACTTCTAGGGACAAGGGGAGGGACTTCTGATGACACAGGTCAGGGGTTGGGGTGGAATTTCCAGTCCCAAAATGGCAATCAGGGAGCAAGGCATCTGTGAAGGGACAGGGCCCTGTGGCCCTTGACAGCTCACCAAAAGTTGTTAAGGAGCCCTCCAGCTGAAATAATTTCCCACCCCTGCTATAAACCATTTTATCCTGGGATAAAGTGGTCATACAGACATCCATGTCTGTTGTCCGAGGATAAATCCTAATAAACTTACTACCTTTTACCTGGGAATTTTTATCTCAGGATATTGCAAAGTATGCCTGTACAGTTATCTCAGCACTGCATCAATCAATGGCAGAAAAGAGAAACCATATTCAGCCACTCACTAAACCCTGGTTAGAAGTGCTCTGTGTGTACACACTAATCCCAGGATATTTTTGTTCCAGGAAAAATATAGGCACAACCTAACCAGGGACAAATGCAATGTTTGTTCCTAGCATAGCCTCAAAACAGACATCAATTTCTCTCAGCACAAGGCCTCTTATTCTAGGATCTAACAGATGTATAAACCCATTCTCCCACTTCAAGTACCTGTAAAGTATCAAAGATAACACTTTTTTTATCCAGGACAATCATGCCTAATTTGAGTTTGCTGTCATTTATAAAATCATAGAAAATTAAGGTTGGAAGGGACCTCAGGAGGCCTAGTCCAGCACCCCATCCCCAAGTATATCATCCCAGTCGAGGCTTTGTCTAGCCAGGTCTTAAAAATATCCAAGAATGGAGATTCCACAACCTCTTTGGGTAGCCTGTTCCAGTGCTTCACAACCCTCATAGTGAGTTTTTCCTAATACCCAACCTGAATTTCCCTTGAGCTCAAGCTGCATGTGTAAATGCCTGCCCCAAGCCTGTTTTGATGGGTGTCAAAGTCTGGGACAATCGGACCTGGGGTAAACCCAACATCTGTTTTTACCCGTAGTGTTTTGCAGTTGAAATTATTGATTCCAAAGCTCCAGAAATTGGGAGGCCAGATTCATTCCTGGTGTGAGTCCATCAAACTCAACGGACATAAATAAAGGATGAATTTTGCAAAGCTATAGGCAAAACAGCAGAAATACTGATAAAGCAGAAAAATTAGAAGGAGTGTGTTGGCAAGCTTTGAAGGAGGGAGAGGAAACCCAGTTTCCAATCATAAGGGCTTGTCACAGAGCACTTAGGGGCTCTGTGCCTGAAGAGGGGAAAACTGCTAGGGAAGGAGTCCTAGCAGTGACTAAGGAGCGCAGCTGGGGGTTGCCGGGGCAACCAGGGAAGGTCAGCTGACCAGGAGGGGGCAGGGCCTGGCCCTTATAAAGCCCAAGGAGCTGAGACCATAGTCAGTTCCCTGCCAGCAGCCAAAGAGGCAGGAGCTCTGGGAGCAAAGAGATGAGGAGAGGCCTGCCAGCCGGCCAGCCAGCCAGTACTGTGAGCAGCAGCTCCAAGATGCTGGAGCAATGTTGTTATAGCCAGACGGCTTATATTTTAAGTTGTAGCCAAGGGCTGGAGTTTGTGTTTTGTTGTTGTTATAAGACCGGTGGTTTGGGTGAGGCTATTAGGGGTTGGAGGAAGCCTCATAGGAGAACCCACAGTAGCGTGGGGATCCCGGTGCCAGTAAGGGCGCAGTTTACAGGGTGCTTAGACCCCAGCCCCAGAGAGGGGCGTTTGAACGGCCCAAGGTGGGCGTAGCAAGCCCCAGAGAAAGGGGCAGCACTGCGGAGAGCCCCAGGAAGGGGGCAACTACTGAGAAGCCCAGTGTGGGCATAGTGAGCCCCAGAAAGGGGGCCATCTTATTGAGAAGCCCAAAGGGGGCACGGTGAGCCCCAGAGAGGGGGGTCGCACGATTGTGAAGCCCAAAGGGGGCACGGCAAGCCCCAGAGAGGGGGGTCGCACGATTGTGAAGCCCAAAGGGGGCACGGCAAGCCCCAGAGAGGGGGGTCGCACGATTGTGAAGCCCAAAGGGGGCACGGCAAGCCCCAGAGAGGGGGGTCGCACGATTGTGAAGCCCAAAGGGGGCACGGCAAGCCCCAGAGAGGGGGGTCGCACGATTGTGAAGCCCAAAGGGGGCACGGCAAGCCCCAGAGAGGGGGGTCGCACGATTGTGAAGCCCAAGTTGGGCACAGAAAGCCCCAGAAAGGGGGCAGGACTATGGAGAAGCCCAAGTTGGGCACAGAAAGCCCCAGAAAGGGGGCAGGACTATGGAGAAGCCCAAGTTGGGCACAGAAAGCCCCAGAAAGGGGGCAGGACTATGGAGAAGCCCAAGTTGGGCACAGAAAGCCCCAGAAAGGGGGCAGGACTATGGAGAAGCCCAAGTTGGGCACAGAAAGCCCCAGAAAGGGGGCAGGACTATGGAGAAGCCCAAGTTGGGCACAGAAAGCCCCAGAAAGGGGGCAGGACTATGGAGAAGCCCAAGTTGGGCACAGAAAGCCCCAGAAAGGGGGCAGGACTATGGAGAAGCCCAAGTTGGGCACAGAAAGCCCCAGAAAGGGGGCAGGACTATGGAGAAGCCCAAGTTGGGCACAGAAAGCCCCAGAAAGGGGGCAGGACTATGGAGAAGCCCAAGTTGGGCACAGAAAGCCCCAGAAAGGGGGCAGGACTATGGAGAAGCCCAAGTTGGGCACAGAAAGCCCCAGAAAGGGGGCAGGACTATGGAGAAGCCCAAGTTGGGCACAGAAAGCCCCAGAAAGGGGGCAGGACTATGGAGAAGCCCAAGTTGGGCACAGAAAGCCCCAGAAAGGGGGCAGGACTATGGAGAAGCCCAAGTTGGGCACAGAAAGCCCCAGAAAGGGGGCAGGACTATGGAGAAGCCCAAGTTGGGCACAGAAAGCCCCAGAAAGGGGGCAGGACTATGGAGAAGCCCAAGTTGGGCACAGAAAGCCCCAGAAAGGGGGCAGGACTATGGAGAAGCCCAAGTTGGGCACAGAAAGCCCCAGAAAGGGGGCAGGACTATGGAGAAGCCCAAGTTGGGCACAGAAAGCCCCAGAGATGGGGGTCGCATGATTGCGAAGCCCAAGTGGGGCATGGCGAGCCCCAGGTAGGGGGGCAGTATTCGAAGCCCAAGTTTGGGCACTGAGAGCCCCTGATAGGGGGCCGCATGGTAGGGAGGCCCGAGTTGGGCACCAGAGAGCCCCAGAAGGGGGCAGCACAAGAAAGAAGGCCCAGGGAGAACAGTAAGGGGCCACATAGTGGGAGAATAGGATTAAGACAACGGTGATTACATCGGCGAGGCGTGGACTGTGGTGTAGGGGAAGAAAAGGAGCCACAGATAGCGCCCCCTGGTGATGGGGCAGTAGAATGGCAGCCTCCCACTAATTAACATCGACTAATTAATTAACATCAAGGCATGGCAGACGAGAAGGCGGGTGGTTGCCCACAGACAGGTGCGTGGGCCACATTAAGGGTGGCCTAGCATGACGACCTATTACAGGGCTAAATACAAATAGTTGACAGTCAAAAGCCTGAGGCTGAAAAAATCCAATCTTCACAGGCTTTAAGCTGCGTAGATTGAACCGATGAGCAAGTGAACAGACATTCATTTTTCATTTCAGAAATCCAGCCACATGCCTACAGTGGCCCAGGCGAGACGTTGGGGGTGTTGAAGCATCTTCCTGCTCAGCAGACAGCTTGGAGCAGACACCTTGGGCCAAAGCTAGCTTGCCCACTCTGTGAGGGGGAATTTGCTGGGGAGCTGCAAGGTATCCTGGGATTCTGGGGGACTGTGAGTTAACTTAACTCTGCAGGAGATCTAAATCACTTAAATCTGATACTTCATCCATCCAGATCTATCCTAAACTAGGTTTGGCCATTTTGAAAGTGGTTTATGTGCTTTGAATGTCTGTTGTGTTACAGATTTGTACTGGTTTCTGATCACTTCTACAGGTTTATGTGTAATTGATGTCCCTAGCTAAGGTGATAGATTTCCAACTGGCATGTTTTCCTTCTGAAAAAAGAAAACAGGTTTCTATTTTTTGTTTCAGCAAATATGGGTGTTTTGCAAATTAGAATACTTGAACACAGACTTCACTCTGGTATCAAGGTTCTGCTGACCAAGCAAGTGAAGGTTTATCAACTTCTTGGTTTTTTGCTACAACCTAACCTTCTTTCCACACTATGTCCCACAGTTAAGGAAATCCTAAGTGTAAGGCTTGTAGGGACTGAACAGGAAGCCTGTCATAAGATAAAGAAATCTGTATGTAGGGCAAGTCAAATGCTTTCTGTTGAATTCTGTAGGTATGAAGAAGAAATTAATTCAAGTTACATTTTATCTCTTCTACTAATTTGTAAATAACTGGAAATATCTTCAACTTCTTTTCTGCCAGATGTTGGCAATTGATATTGATAGCTTCTATCTTAAACATAACAGGTGCCTGTAGATGTGTGGGATGCCTGTGCCAATGTACTGTAATTACAGCGTGTTGGAGCAAACTCAATTACTCAAGTCTGCTGGAGCATACTAATTAGCATGCTCTACCAGCCTTGCCTCGGTGTCTTGTGTATTCATTTCAAAATGGTGGTGGGGGCACTTTTTAACTAAACCTCATCCAAATAGCTTTAATTAAACTGCCCCACCACCATTTTGCAGCATGGGATGCTGAATACACAAGATAATACAGGTGCTTTAATTACAGTGGCTCCTGAGAGCTGCTCTAATTAAGTGCCCCACCTCCAGAGCACATGTAAAAATGACCAACATTCCTAAATTTGCACTTCATAACTATATGCCTGCTCCTCTAATTTGAAGATTGTACTTTGCTGTAGCACTGGATCATAGAATCATAGAAAATCAGGGTTGGAAGGGACCTCAGAAGGTCATCTAGTCCAACCCCTGTTCAGAGTAGAAGCAAAGCAGAATCATTTGATAACTCACACAGTACATTAAGTTCAAATCAGTGCCTTCTCTCCCTTTAACATTCATTTCTAGATTTGATCCTCTCAATATTTCTGTAATTTTTTTTTCAGGAGGTGACTTGCAGCAAGGCTGAAAAACCTACCATAACTCCCTTGCATCCTATCACACAATGCTACTTTTGGACCAGGTGAGTATAATCTGGTTAGAATTTCTTCAAATGTCCCTGTTGATTTCCCCAAAAGTTAGTATATAAAGGTGCATAACTACCCTGCTTTCTTTCCCAAAAGCAATCATCATTATTCTTCTCAAGAAAGGGGTTTTTCTATGCAAGGTGATCATTTAATGTATTGTAGGAGGACAGACCATTGTCAAGTGAGATGTAAAGCTTCAATCTGAACCAATATGGAATAGAACATTGCCTAAAATGCTTTCTTTCCTGAAGAAATAAGTATATTTCTTAATTTCTTCATGTTCTTATTGTATCTACTTTCTCTGAGAAGGGAACCTATTCCTTTATTTTTTTCTGAATCCTATTTTTAATAAGTAGGTTTTCATTAAGACTAAGAAAATATGTCACTTAAAAATGGTAACATGATAGTAAATGCTTTTATACTAGTAACTCTATGACAAGGTTTGTGCCACGCCATATATGCCATTCAATATGAGTTATTTAGTTAACTTGGATGTTTGCAAACAATGTGCATACATCTGTAAATGTAATCTTCTGGGCAGCGTGCCCTGTCTTCCACTGAGACATGGCTGAGGCTATTTGCAGCACACACCCAACTTGGCAGCTGTGGGGGCTCCAGGTGTCCAGGTGAGGAACGGAGTAGCTAAATTAGCTAAGCTTTTGGTGCTGCAGATCTTGGAATGTAGTGATTGCCATGGAGGGGAGAGAGAGAGAGAGAGAGAGAGGAAGAGCTCAGGGCCAATATTGGGGCCCTTCACCTTGTTTGTTTACACTGCTGCTTCTTTACTTTCCACTTGCTTAGGCTCTTGCCATTGCTTCCAGCCTCTTCCTTGCAGGCTGGACTTCTGCTCAGCATATGCCTAGATGCCAAACATAGAACTGCAGGGAAATGCCAACAGCTTTCCTCAGGGGGCAAGAGAATCCAGCTGAGATGCGGGGATGCCTGACCAACCTGCCAAATGCTTGATTGTCACATGAGATGTGTGACCTTTGGAATCCCTGAATAGCATGCTGCACCCAATTAACTTGTATCACTTTAATAAATCAGGGTTGCTGTTGTTTTCAATGTAATGCTTCTTTTCTCTGGACCACCCCCATACTAGACAATAACAAATCCAGGGTTGAACTAACCCACAAGGTATCAGGAAATCTCCTGGAAGGCTTCTAGCAACAGCTCAAACAATTATTTTCACTTGTCTCTTTCAGTCTTACACAGATACAGGCCTCTCAGACTTCTCTGGTCCCTGGGAGCCCTCCTGCAGCTGCTCCTTTGCCCAGAAGACAACAGCTGCCTCCATCATATGGTGCCAGCATTGATTTGTGGTAGCTGAAAATGAGTTGCAATTGCTGCCAGTAGGAAAGTAGTGTTGCTTGCCCTTGGGATTTTGCCATGAGTCTTACAATACTTATTATGTTTCTTAAATCCCCAGCTGCTGGAGTCAACTGACTTTCTGAGAATCTCCGGTTTCATTGAAAAAAACTTAAGTTACTAGCTCTTATGGTTGCAGAGGAAAGACTGAAAATGAGTCCAAGCCTCAAAAATCAGAACACAAATAAAAAGAAGCCAAAATTCATTACTTCCTTAAAAGCAAATCTCATAGATTCATGTGTGGCAAATGTTTGGGGCTGGCAAAGGGATGACAGGGGAGGAAGAGACTGTTTTGGCCCTAAATGAAATGGATTTTACCAGTGATCTTTTGAAGTCTGGAAGATCCTCTGTTCTATTAGGGCCTCCCTCAATGGAAAATCCTCTGAAAGCCCCTAGAGCTTTATGGTGTCTATTTATGGGAGGGAAAATCCTAATCCTGTTTAGCTCTGAGGAGGTAGACCTTGCAGTAGATATTCTACCCACTTTCCCAACAACCTAGGGGATGCATCAGGATGAGTAGATATGCACTGGACCTCCCAATTTTAGTAGGGCAGAGGTAGCCTTTCCCTGCCCCCTGTCCTGGCAATGCACTCTGAGATGTTTTTTGTCAATGCCAGAATCATTAAAAGGAAGTGGCTGCTGGTTTTGTAGGGAGAAAAACAATTGTAGAACCCCCTGTAAGGGAAAGCAAAGGAGTCAGTGGTACAACTGTGCAGAGTTTTAATAGACTGGCTTTCCTATAAATAACAGAGAAGATTTTTCAGCACCACTCTTGGGCAATGTATCCAGATTTCCACATCCCTGTCTTTTGGAGGCCTATCTTCTCTCTTCTCCCTGAAGGCCTCAGTCTGACACTGTCCACCCTGTCTTGCATGATTTACTTGGGGTTTATCTGCATCAATTGTGGGTTTCAAATAGAGCCAGCTTGAATTTTTTCATGCACAACTTTTCCCACCAAAAATATAGGTTTTATCAAAACAGATTTTTTTTAAACTAGAAAAAAATCAGTTCAACTAAAAAACTGCAACTTTTTCCATGGGAAACTTCATAACTCATGTTTTCATTTGTGATCAACATTTAGAAGCAAAACAATAATAGGAGTAGTTGTAGTAGTTGTTGTTTGGATTTAAAATGGTTAAAAAAAAAAAACAAAAAACAAACAAAAAAAAAAAAAACCCCTCCAAAACAAATTCAGTACTTGAAATTAAATGAGAACTTCCTGCAGGAACAAAAATGCAATTTTCTTCTACAATTTTTCATTTTAAATTATAATACCATAAGAATTTTAGGAATTTAACAGCGGCTTTTCAATAGCTTCAGTTCCAAACTCAGAATAATATCAGCTGTAATCTGGATGTTCTTAAACCCTTGTCTATAACAAGAATGATGTCAGCTTCTTTTTCGCTTGCACTGTAATGACACTGACTTTCCAAATCCTTCATTTCTTATTCTGACAAAAGACCCATTTGCTGAGTAACAGCAGCAGGATTTGGTGAAATAAGAAAAATTTTAGTGGGTTGGTGATCATCAACTGGAATCAATTATGCAAAGTTAATACCTAGTGTCAATAAATTCTGTCTGCTTTGGATAACTTTTTCTAACAACTCCTGAATCCAAACTATTTATTATTTCTCGTATCAAATACAGCAAATACAAGTATATTTCCAGTAAACCAGGTGTTTTCTACATCTTTGAGTCCTAACAAAACCAGTGGATCCTTGGTTTGAATTCCGTTAGCCTTTTGTTACCCGCTGCTCTTTTGCCATACATAGCCAAATTCTATGGCTTCATCAGCCTTATTGACCAAGGATTCTTAGTACCCACAGTTCTTTTCCCATTCTGGTGAAGCTATAATTAGTGGTTATAGAAGCCAGGATTTTTATTAGTATAAATTATACTGGTAAACCCAGAATATGTCATAGACTCTGTGTATTATGCTTTATTTTTGTCAAAGGCTTCACAACAATTTGTTTTCCCACTGAAGAATTTAGAGACACCGAGAAAATGGGATAGATCATTGTGTAACTCCTGACACCATCCTCAGTTTTTAGAGACGTTGGAAACTAATGATTCCAACCCTACCAAAAATAAAACTCTTCTAATTCACCAAATTTGTCCTGTTATAATACCACCTAAGTCAATGGAGTTACACCAGGGATAAATTTGGCCCTGAATCTTGTATAGTAAAACAAATGGAATGAGTTCTTATTTAGGACTTTTGAGCCTCTTAAGCCTCCATCTGTTTGGGTTTTCAATTAACAGTTGATGGAGCAGATGATTTTCATCATCTTTTGACTCTATTGCCAGTAATAATGTTAGGGTCTGTCTTCTTATATCATTTGGTCTAATGCCCAAGAGTGCATCTGTGTGTATGTAGCATACTGTTCAGTACAATGCTGAGCTTTTTAGTGTAACAGCTTCTGTACCATACAGGAGAACAGTATTCTGCTGAGGCATATACCATTGCAAGTGCTGTGGTTCTGGGCACTTTGAAATTGGCACCCTATGTCATGCCAGCAGCTACCTGTGCAGAGACTTTACTGTTGACCTTCTGAATGTGGTGTTTATAGGTCAGGGAATGGTCTAATGCAACTCCTAAGTAGGTTGGGTTATGCTAATGAGGAAAGATGTGGTTGTCTACTCTGATATTCATTGTGCACTTTCGACAATGATTCTCCATGTGGAAGAATGATGATACGAATTAATAAATTATGATAACTTAATGACGTGATGATGCTTAATTTTAAGCACTACTTCTGGAGATAGTCAGTGATGAGTTCCATGTCAGTATTCAGTGTCTTTTCCAGTTCTGTCATGTCTATTCCTTGCGCTACTATGACAACATCATCAGCATACATGTATCCTTTAGATGTTGCATATGGGACATCTGAGGCATTACATTGAAAAGTGTTGGTGCTAACACTGACCTTTGGGGGACTCCATTCTTCACAGTTTGTACCCTGCTTTTTGTTTTGTACGTGAAGCTCACACGCTCCTGGAAGAGATGGGGGATACTGAACCAAACCTATGGGCAGCAATGGAGTGGGATAACCACTGGGAAAGGTCAAATCTATTTCAACAACATTTTATACCAACACCAAACAAGTCTGGCATTGGGTATGACCTTTACAGAGAAGCATGGGTCAAGCTGAACAGGCTGCAATCTGGATATGGATGCTTCAAAATAACACTTTATAAGATGAACACTTTGGAATGTGGTATCCAACTAACAGGGCAGCCCTTAATTGAAAGCTGTAATCTTTACAAATTCCCAGGGTAGATGGAATCTGTACATTGAGCAATAATATCAGACAGTGGCTCATTTGGAAGTTGATATCTGATGCCATACGAGAGAGGGTTCTCATTGTATAGCTGTTTTACAAAAAGTACTATAGAAATAGATCATATGTATTATACCAAAACTTTATCAGACCAAGAAAAATATCCTAAGAAATTTATCAGAATTATTTAATCTCTTTTAAAACATTGTATCCCAAAATTCTAGAACACCTTTTTTCTTGATAAGGTCACTGATGTATGGAAAAGTTTATATGGTTGACAAATACCATTATCTTTTGTGCATGGGATTTCCCCTGTAGAAGCAGAGGGGACAGAAGGTGAGTCTGCATAGCAGTACAATAATCACACTATTGAATGCATAACTAGGTTGTTTGTATCCCATTTAACCGGCAGTGGGTTGCTGAATTAAGGATGGGGCTCTCAGCTGTTTGCTGCAGCTTTTACCTCAAAGGGCTCCCTTTCTCCACTCTACCAGAGTACATTTGTGATCTCTCAAAGCTGACTGGAGAAGCAGTGCTCTTTGACATAAAAACCATAGCAAGCACCTGGAACACCTCTGCAGTCCTGTTCAGTTGTTTGCAGTGGCTTTGTATATACCCAGTTACTTCACAAACCTTTATGGGTATACGCATGCATCAAGGTTGCTCCAGTGTGGTGTAATTACAGCACATCAGAGCAGACTTGGTTAATCGAGTCTGCTGGAGTGTGGTAATTACTAGGGCTGTGCCAAGCTTCAGGTGGTGATTCAATTCAAGAGAGATTTGGCCCAATTCGGTGGCTGAATCTCCAAATCGAATTGGGACCAATTAAAAGGTCTGAATTGATTCAAAGCTCTTTGAATCTTTGGAAAAGATTTGGAGAGCTTTGATTCAGGCAGTCGGAGAGCTTTGATTCAGGCAGTCCCCGGTGGGCGCAGGGGGGGCCTGCAGCCGACTCTGAGCTGGTAAGTACTAGGGGTTGGGGAGAGGTGGCTGGGGGAGGGCAGAGAGGACCATGGGGAGACCCCTGACAGCTCCCCTGCCTGCTCCCCCACAGGTCCCCGTCCACCCCAACTCCTGGTATTTAAAAAAAAAAAAAAAAAAAAAAAAAAAATGGAGAAAGCCCCCAGGACTCGCTGGCTCCTGCAGCAGCCTCGGGGCTTCAGGAGGCTTGTTCAGAGACCCTCGTGTGGCAGGAGGCAGCAGGGATCACCCCTCACTGGCAGGAACAGAGTCCAGGGTTTTGGGGGGGTTCATGAAGGGTCAGAGTCGTGGTGGGCAGGGCAGCCATGGGGGGGGCCTGAATGGGGGGCTTGGGGGACTCATGCAGAGCCTCCATGCAGCATGGGGCAGTGGCGGGCATTAGGGATCGCCCCCCCCCGCAAATGCCTGGCAGCACCTGCTGAGTCGTGGCTTTTTTTTTTTTTTTTTGACAAGTGCCAG